ACATCATGTTCAACCTTATGGTCTCAATAATAGAGAATCTTGAATAAACTCACATAAAATTCTAAAATAAAATTGAGGAAAAATTGATATTCCATATTTGAGATTTCAAACTAGTAATCTTTTTCACAAAGCTAGAAAAATTGATTAAATTCCCCAGCATAAAACCCCTGAGCCAAAAGTTAGAGGAGTTCAGATATATCAAGGGGGATAATAAGACCTATCTAGTTCTGTATGCATTAATGCACACATCAGATCTTTTATTAGACTTACTTAAAGAGTAATTAAAACCTCAATAACGAAGTTAATAATTAGGAATGTTACCTTGCTGAAAAGCTTCAATGAGCAATTCAAAGTAAAACCTGTATTAATGATACAACAGCTATAAAGGAGAAAACGATATACTTTGGCAAACTCATGGATAAGATAGCTAAAGCTTTTCGGCTTATTTCGACGAGATAAAGGCACATTTACGAATGAGAGAAATCACAGCCTGGGGGCCTGGTGTTTGAAGTCGATTGGACTGCGACAACTGTGAAAGTTGTTCAAGCCAACTGGCCTCTCGAGGATCAAGGGCAGCAAATGGTAAAGAAGGCGAGTTGGAGGAGCATCGCTGGGGCGATCGTGAGTCACACGGCCAGACAGAGCAATTAGGAAACGGCGGAAGACAACCGGAAGGATGAACACGGTTTAGACAACAGGCCTATGGGTTTATAAAATGAGATAAGTAATGAAAAAAATTTCATTCTGATCCAAAATTAGGAAATTATATAATGATGATAATAAAGTAAAATAAAACTCATTCAGTTCTATGAAATCAACCTATAGTTTCGCAAGCCAAAGAATATTTCTTTATGAATTCGTGAATTCAATGATAGACTTTAAAATGTATTAAACTATACTAACTATAAATCATTAAGCCAATGCTCACCTCATCCAAAAGTCTTGCCGAACTAAGAATTGCTGACAGTACATGACTGTTATCCCACCAGTCTACAGATTCGGTTGATGATAAAGGACGGTGAACAGTGTCAGACCTAGGATTAAACAAGTAAGTTGATAATCCTTCTTCACGTAAATCCTCTTCGGCAGCCAAAATAGTTATCCCGATGAAATGACGATGAAGCTGTTCGTTAGCGTAGTTAATGCAGAACTGTTCAAAGCTATTTACTTCGAGACTTTCGAAGCCGAAAAAATCTAATATGTCTGAGACAGCGACTCAGTGAAAATCAGACAAGAGAAGAGAAGCAAAATAGAAAATGAGTCGGTATAAGTTAAGTCTCAACTAGGTCAATGTACATAGTATTTAACTGCTCTATTTTACTAATAATATATGGTTTAATTGTACAATGATATGTAGATCAAGATGGTGTGATATATATTTTGGACACAGTCTCCTTCCGCTGTAAGAAAGTTACTTGTTATCAAAGGGACCTAGATAAAGAAAGCTATGGCACAGCTATAGATTAGTCCAATATAAACAAGTTATAATTTGTGATAGAGGGAGTAAGAAACGATATCGCGAGAAAGTAGATGTAGCTCAATTGCTCACACGAAAGTTGGTTAAGGGATGGAGTCTACTCGTCTGATGGGTTGTAACTTAGTTCTAAGAATGGCAAGATTCGCTGACGATGGGGGCCAAATGCCTGGGAAAGTCCGACACTGAGGATTATCATAGCTACTATAAGAGAGGAGTTCAGACAAGGTGTGCTCATTTTGGTCGCCTTGACGATACGACCAAGTTGCGACGAGGTAAAAACCGCTTTTACTGTATTATGGTTCAATAAAGAAGCGAAACCGTTTGTTCATATCACAAGTGCTCTAGTTAAGGATAAATTATTGTATTAAGAAAATGCCAGGCAACTGAGGTATATAATATAACAATTAAGAAAAAAACATATTGGTGCAAATTACAACCTAACCTTATATGGGAGATGGCGTTATAAATTAAATACCACAACATACGAGTTTTTAGAAAGCTCATCGTGGATATTTTCGTCTGTTCAGGCGTGCAAACCGGCGGCACCAGGTGCTGCTCTCCATGTGTGTAATAATACAATTCCAACAGCCACTTTAGAGCATGCCTGATATTCAGTCACTTTAACATACGCACCGTTGGCCCTATAGCATCTTCGAAGGGCAACTAGTATTCACTACAGTACAATTCTTCAAACCAGGAGTTCCTCGGGACAAGATCTATGTAATATTCCCCGGGCTCAACAACTGGAGTCCAAAGACATAATCTCAATGAAATTACTAGTCCATGAGCAGTACCGTAACTCCGCCTCCCGAGGATGAAACCTTCGTTACAGCTTCATACTCTAAACCGGTTCATCTAAGGAAGATTTCCTCAGAGCGATAACCTTATATCATATCTCAGGCCTATTTCAACACCGTCTTAACCAATCACTAGTGAAAACTCCCATTGTTTAACCTTACGAGAATCATAAAATGCACACTACTACGGCGTTGCGTGCAAAAA